CATTACAAAATGAGCTGTGTCATGACAAACCAACATAGTGCGTTTGCGACCAGCATGGATCCAGACCAGCCTGCGCATCCGCGCAGTCTGATCAGGATCCATGCTGTTCGCTTACAGACCCTATAACAAGTAAATAAACTGATAGCGAACAGCATGGATCCTGATCAGACTGCGCAGATGCTGATGTTGGTTTTGTCATGACGCGGCTAAAATTATGATTGCTGCAGCATGGTTGTTGTTGTCATGCAAAAATGTTAATGTAGCCCATTCTTCAAACATTTTAAAAAACTTATCAACATGAGAGTTAGAATACTTGCCTATCATGACAAGGTGCGCATGCAGTAGTGAGACAAGAAGACAAGGGTCATAATTCTGAAAGCTATATATTTGGAGTTATGCCCCTTTTTTACTTAGAATTTTTGTCAACATTGATTTTTGGTAATTTTATTGTCCTTAACAGTTAATTGTTTAGATTGCATGTGATGCTCTTGTTTTAAATATAAATGTACAAAATGTCATTGTAGCCACCAAGCGTAATGGTGATGATATTTGTGAGTTGTAATTTTTTTTGTGCACATACTATTTTTGGTTCGTTAATGTAAAAATTTATGTATAATTTGGGCTTGTTGATATTTCAAAATGTGTACAGATATATGTTCATCTTCATGTATATATTTCATAAGAAAAACAACTTTGTGCTCAATTACATTTTATGCTTCCCGAAAATAGTTCTTGGGAGCATACAGTTGCTGGTCTGACCTTCCATTACTTCACTGATATTTTAGTTACATGCTTTCCTCATTTAGGTACATGACCTTCACCTTTACATTTATATATAAAGGGTTTGAGGTCAGTGCATTCAATGTCACTGAGGGTAACTAGTTCGGCTATTCTTAGAATAGGGAGAGCTATTGTACTAGCCAATGCATCGGCATTGGTGTCACACTTTTGTTCAGTTTTTGCGTGCAAGTTGAAATCTCTAAAAGCACTGAAGGAAATGGGTTAAAACTTAACACACTTATTTCAGAGTATAATAGGAGGTCACTGTCTAATATGTAAGGTCCATAACTCGATTATAGATATTTACAGAAGTATGACTCTTTTAGGGCTTAGAAAATTTTTCATTATCCAAGCCCTTGTTTAAGCTTTGAAAATAGTTGAGCACACTGTCCTTCTAAACAGCTCTTGTAATATTTTTACTTTCCTAGCTTTTGTTGTGTTTGGAAGCTGATATGGTCATTGTCAAAGTCACCAAGACTGAAACAAACTTTTATACTGTTCATCATTGTTTGGAAATGATTTTAATTGCAATTCCTTGTCAGGGAGCATTCGTCAGTGTCACTGATATATTTGTTTACTTGAAGACATGCGAGGGATCACAACATGTGACAGAGCACATAGGGATCACAATATGTGAGGTATCACATAGGTATTACAACATGTAAGGGGTCACATAAGGATCACAACTTGTGAGGGATCAATTAGGTATTTTATCAGTCTTTTATCAGAGGAAATCATGTACGCAACACCTCAGAAATGCAAGAGTGCAATTATTACCATGTTAAATATAGATTAAATGGCCTAATGTTATGTGATTAAGGCATCTCAACAGTAAGCTACTCTTTAATGGGTAAAGATGTTGTAAATAGTATATACATTTACATACACAGAAATTATAATCACCATTCAAAAGTTATTGTATATCTTTCATTGTTATTATATTATAAACAGGCTTGTTAATAGTGTTCTTTTTGAATTAATGACATGTTGATGTAATTTATTATTGTTGATAAAAAATGTATATCGGTCTAAATAAAGTACAAAAAAGAAACACAGTTTTATTAACTTTATCTTTTTGTGTGTGAGCAGTAAATCTAGATATCTAATTTTTATGCCCTCGGGCATATAGTGATTAAACCGTCCGTCCGTCTGTCTGTCTGTCCGTCCATACGAGGTTAACTTAGAACAACAAGTTGGATTTTTCTAAAAGTCTACCTGTACCAATGGCTTGTAAGTTTACACACTTACTAATCAATACAAAGTACATGATCTGGGCAAGTTACATAACTCTGGCTTTCATATTTACCAAGTTATTGCCCTTTTCAGCACTTAAAAAATGAATAATGGTTAATCTAAAACGGCAAGTTGGAAATATCTTAAGTTCTGTCTATACTAATGGCTTATAATTTCCACACTTACTTATCAATACAAAGTACATGATATTGCCAAGTTATATAACTGTGTCATCCATATTTCCCAGTTATTTCCCTTTTTTCACTTTGAAAATAGGGCCTTGTCTGGTTAACCTATTTCGGCAAGTTGGATTTATTTTAAATTTCTCCTAATTGTTTAATTTCTTTAATGATAGCTTTCATATTTAGTAGGTCGATACCTTTGATGGTCCTCTAATTTTTTGTGGAGTAAGCGGTCTCTAGGGTCAAGGTCTTGGTCACTGGTTTAAAAAATAAATATAAACATTTTTGCTCATACAGCCTTTATATTTTATGTGATGTCTTAGTTTAATACAAACATGCCAAGGGTCCTCCTTCTTTGGGTGTAGTAAGGGGTCATTTGGGTCAAGGTCAATGTTTCCAATGTCAAGGTCACCAATGTTAAAAATAGATTTTTACATTTTTACAGGTGTATTTACCTTATTCTATAGACAGATGTTATTTATAATTGATAGAAACATAAACTTTGATGGAGTTAGTGGTCAGTTGGGTCAAGGTCACCAGTGCTAAAAAAAGTTTTTTACACATTTGCTCATACAGCCTTTATTAAGTGACAAATATATATTTATATTTGGTAGAAAGATAACTTGCATGGTATTCATCCTTTTGAATTGGGTAGGGATAAGTGGGTCAAGGTCACTTGTGCTAAAAATAGATTTTTACACTTTTGCCCATACAGCCTTTATTTATTGACAGATGTATTTCATATTTGGTAGGAAGATAACTTACATAGTATTCTTCCTTTTGATGGAGTAAGGGGTCAGTTGGGTCAAGGTCACCAGTGCTAAAAATAGATTTTTACACTTTTGCCCATACAGCCTTTATTTATTGACAGATGTATTTCATATTTGGTAGGAAGATAACTTACATGGTATTCTTCTTTTGGATAGAGTTAGGGGTCAGTTTGGTTAAGGTCACCAGTACTCAAAATAGATTTTTACACTTTTGCCCATACAGCCTTTATTTAATGACAGGTGTATTTCATGTTTGGTAGGAAGATAACTTGCATGAAGTTGAATATTTTTCAACTTCACAACTTAGAGCAATGACTTGGAAACTTATATTTCTCACAATTACAAAATGCCATGACTTTATCAAGCTATATAACTTAAGTTTACAATTGTTTGGCAATTTTTCTGTCCGTAACTGAGTGAATGGGTAAACATTTTTTGAAATATTGCTACTGACAAGAATCTGAGCCGGGGGCATTTGTGTTTAACAAACACGTTCTTGTTTAGATCTAGATTACTATAATATGAAAATTGGATAAATTTGGCCCAATATTCCTAACACAAGTTCAGAGAAAATATTCTCCATCATGGATGTTTTTCTCAAAGACTGGTTCAGAATTCTTGTCAATGATCAAGAAGTGTTAAAGTTTTGTTTTCAGCTTTATTGATTGATATAAAATCAACTTTAAAACCATAATTGAGCCGCGTCACAACAAAACCAACATTGTGCGTTTGCGACCAGCATGGATCCAGACCAGCCTGCGCATCCGCGCAGTCTGATCAGGATCCATGCTGTTCGCTTACCAACTCTATAACAAGTAGAAAAACTGATAACGAACAGCATGGATCCTGATCAGAATTAGCGGATGCGCAGGCTGTTCCGGATCAATGCTATTCGCAAACCCATTATGTTGGTTTTGTCATGACGCGGCTCATATCATATTCCTCCTTTGCCAATTCTTAGATCATTACAACATATTCTTGGATCATTACTCCCTTCACAGTGTGTTCGAATCCCTTCCGAGATTTTAAATTATTTTACGTCAGGGCACATAGGGTGTTCCTCTTTCTGTGATTTTGGTGGTTTTATCGAGATTCCCGCTCGTGTCTTTATAGTTCAACAAACTAAGATGTTTGCTAATTTGCGGCTTATTAGGCAGTAAGTAAAACAACACTGACGCTACATGTTTTTATTTAAACCAATATTTAAATTACATAACAAATACATAATAAACAAAATTAACAAGTTGCAAACTACATTTACCTCTACCAAATGATTCGCGGTCCATCATCGGCCTCGAGTGGTCCGTATTCTCAGTGCCTGTAAGTTCGGATGGACCACACTAAGCAGAGACAACCATCACAATCGACCTCGTAATGTTACTTTCATGCTCACAAAGGCAATATATTTGTTTAAAACCATGCGATTTACTGCACTATTTTCCATATTTCTTTTGGCAACTGATAGATAAATTGAAATAATCATTTTATTGAAAGCTTTTTATTTTATACAATTTCTGCTCGATTCTAAGATTCTAATTCGTCAAATTATTTGTTAATACTGAAATGCATATGAGTTTTTTTTTGTTTTCAAATAAATGTATGGTTTTAAACATAAATCAAGAATAAACAGAAAAACACGAAACATTATCATTAAAAAACAACAATAACACCGATGTTTTATTATTATTCAAGACAAATATATTCAAAACAGAAGCTAAAATACATGCCCGCGTTTTTGGAAAGTTTTAATTTTTTGTCAAAGTACCAGCTCGTTTAGGGAGTACATTCATTGCGTCACCTTGCACCAGTCAAAGATTAAAAGTCAACAAATGAGCCTATGACCATTTGACAACAACATACATTACATTGTTAGCTGATCATTATTGTTATTTTGACACTGATTTTGTACAATTTCAACGGAATGTTTCAATTCTGTAACAGTACGTGTGTATTTCACAAATTTAGAACTTCAAATGTCTCAATTTTAACTTGTCAGAACACGTTCTATTGTGATGCTTTTATGCCATTACATGTACTATTGCCAAGTCTCTTGTGTACTTCTCCGTTTGTTCATTCGGGATTTCAAAAGATTGAAAGACCCTTTGCGGAACGGATTGCCACTCCTTCTTTCAGAGCTTGTTCGTCGCCCAACTGTTCTCGCCATCCTTTCCGAGCCGAGCACAATCATCGGATTGATGGCGGAAGTGCTGACAGCAAGACATTGCGCAAACAGCCAAACCACATGTACCAGCTTACTGTCGTATATTAACGGATTGATGTCGCCAACTATGGTGATTGTGTGGATCGGAAGCCAGCATAAGGCGTATGCAAAGAATGCTAAGAGAAATACTTTTATTGTCTGAAAAAAGGAAAAATAAATAACATGTATTACAAGTACATGCACTAGGAATATGAGCTTTTAATTTCGAAATTTGATGAGATTTGTGTTGAAGAACGAAATGTTTATTTGTAACCATGCTCTATAAATACATATATAAATTATGATCCATGAATACATATTGTACTTGAACATATAAGCTAAAAAAGAAAACATATTTAAGCACATACCTTTCTTTTCACAATGCGCCGTCTCCTCATTAAATTTCCATACTCTTCCCCCGGTGGTTTAACATCAAGAATGAGAACAATATGTCCATAAGTTATGATTAGGACGAGAAGCGGAATACAGTAGGTGACGATAAAGAGCGAGCTGCTGTAAGCCTGTCTTAACCCATTCTGCGGCCAGTCCTCAATGCATATACCAGATGAGTTGTCTAGTTCATTGTATAACTTGATGTCAGTGAAAATAGCCACAGGAACCGAAAGAATCAACGAAAAGAACCATATAGCGGTGATGATTGCGATGACTACCAACAAGGACGCCTGTTTTCTCAGCGGCCAGCGGATTGCAATATATCTGTCAACGGAGGATGCCACAAGTGTACACGAACGCTGAATAACGCTGGCAGTCTGCATGAAGCTCACGCTGTAACACATGAACTTTCCGAATAGCCAGTGGTAGTTGATCAGGTTGTTGAAGACTGTGAACGGTTCACACCAGATCACAAGTAGCAGGTCACTCATTGCCAACGCCACTAGATAATAGTTAGCGTTCGTCTTGCCACGTTTGACGAGAAGGAAATATATCAGTATGATACCGTTTCCAATCAAGCTGATACCTACGATGACAAGATGAAGTCCTATCAAAATGTAAGTGATCCATTTCGGCAGGGCATATTCCTCAACGAGCACATGTGTCAAGTTTGTGTCTATCACAAGAGCTGTATCGTTGGAATAAGTCATCTTGGCAGAGGCAAGAACTTGAAATGAACCTACAGTTGCAGGTATCTAGCTTTATATAGCAAAGATTGGTCCATAAACTAGGATTGGACCGCTAATATATTGAGACAGGAAAAGTGTTAATATATTTTCACAAAAATAAGTTTATACAAAACAATACCAAAGGAAATCATTGTAAGTATGCGCATTTTTAATTTATCTTTATTCCGATCTTTTTTTATTAATTTCTTTTTTTCAGCATATTTTATACAAAATTTAGACTTTAAAATATCTTTTTGTAATATATTCCCACAAAAAAGCAATTAATATAGATTTTTATTGACACGCAGTTGAAGTACAGGAGAAGCAGAGGTGTACTGGTAAGAAAGCCAGGTAATCTTCGCATGTATCAGTGCTATACACTGGGCACGTAAAAGAACCAAGGGGTTCTTTTTAATAAGAGCAAGGGACAGGTGACCGGATTCCCTTGTATTTCATAGATTTCTCTCTGAAGTGACTAGTATAGAGTCATGTCTACCAAATCGGCCCAAGAATCTCAGCTTAGCATCCTTGAGGATGTCCAGGCCTGAAGACTACATTACATTACATTACAAGATCTATAAGGGAGGGCGGCGTTCAATGAATGCAACCAACATATGACCCAGTAACACAGGACCACCGGTGAAGAGCCCGGCAGGACCCCAAACAAAAACAGGACAGACCACAAGGCAAACCTCATCTGATTTGTCACTCGATGTTGTGACACACGGTTGTTCTTTGTATTTTCATACAATGTAAATCGCATTAGACTGATAGATTTCGTTTAATTTTGATTTATGTTTACTGTGTAACAATAAAAGACATTTCAGATGAACATTCGGCATGAACGGCATTTCCGTATTTTTAGATTATTTTTCTTAATCTTATTGTAGCGTTTTAGACATCTTTAATCCATGTTTATATGATCTTACATGTATATAAAAATATTGTTGTTTCTAACTCTGTTGAGAAAAGGTCGTCAGGTTTGCCCCTCGCCGTCCATCCTGCCTTTATTCACTATTTTCTCTTAACGGCAATCCCTGTTAAACAACATTGTAACAACTTGGTAATTTTCTAATGATCTTTCCTTAGCATATGTTAGTTGAATATACAACGTTACTCTTATTATGTTGATTACCTTGGCAACAAAAAGAAAAATCCATACCAATTATGAATCTACAACTGAACAATTGCAGCTATGAAATAAAATGGTCTAAAAAATTAAACTATAGGGATGACAGATTGCTGCAGTGATGACATATTGCTGCAGTGATGACATATTGCTGCAGTGATGACTGATTGCTGCAGTGGTGACAGATTGCTGCAGTGATGACAGATTGCTGCAGTGACGACATATTGCTGCAGTGATGACAGATTGCTGCAGTGATGACTGATTGCTTCAGTGACGACAAATTGCTGCAGTGATGACATTTTGTTGCAGTGATGACATTTTGTTGCAGTGATGACAGATTGCTGCAGTGATGACAGATTGCTGCAGTGATGACAGATTGCTGCAGTGATGACATATTGCTGCAGTGATGACAGATTGCTGCAGTGATGACAGATTGCTGCAGTGATGACAGATTGCTGCAGTGATGACAGATTGCTGCAGTGACGACAGATTTCTGCAGTGCTGACGTATGCTGCAGTGATGCCAGATTGCTGTAGTGATGACAGGTTGCTGCAGTGGTTATATATTGCTGCAGTGATGACATTTTGTTGCAGTGATGACAGATTGCTGCAGTGACGACAGATTGCTGCAGTGGTGACATATTGCTGCAGTGATGCCAGATTGCTGTAGTGATGACAGATTGCTGCAGTGGTGACAGATTGCTGCAGTGGTGACAGATTGCTGCAGTGGGGACATATTGCTGCAATGATGACAGATTGCTGAAGATGACGGAAATCTAACATTTAATGATTACTACAGGTACGTTATAAACTTAGTTGGTATATTTGTATTGCGCTAATGAGAACAATTTTCTTTTCCTTGCAGTAGGCTTACTGTTAATTAACTGTGGATATTGATAGTTCCCCCATCTTAAAAGATATTTTTCGCGGGCTAAAAATGACAAAATCGGAAAACCGCGAAAATATACACATAGACAATCATCACTTTGAGTCAATCATGCAAAATGTCAAAATATTATTTAAATTATGTAGAGAAGAGTCTGTGAAATAATAGTAGAGTGCAAATATGCAATTTTACAGCACGACAAATAGAATTGGTGTGATTATATACCAGCTTTGTATAAATGTCTTTGTATAAACTATATGCTTGCTTAAAGTGTTGAATTTTCATATTCAGTGCCTTATTTTTTTGTTGGAATATGTCTATGAATATGCCCCGTTCGTGCCTGAAATAATGCATAGAAGCGCACCTGAGGTTATGCTCCGCCCGTAAAATATGATAAACAAGATTAACAAGGAAAAGCGGCGTTCAATGAACGCAAAAGCTGGAATGTCGTCATGCAACCAGTACTGTGTTGGTGCCACGTTAAAGCAAACCGAAAAATATGAATATGCCTTTTTGAAATAACATATTTGTTTGTTATCATAAAAAAATTATGAAACTTTTTATCGTAATTATTAGAGGTGACATTGCATAAAAGCATTTTGTCTTCAACAAAGCTAGGGCACACCGATCTAGCTATAGGATAACTTATACATGTATAGGTCTTTTTCATATACAGCACTTTAATGGCGAGATGAACTACAAAATTTAATCTGCCTGTGAAAATCACAGTTTAACGTGGCACTTGCGTTTGTATGACCTTCTCCGGTGACTGTTAGATAATTCATGACTAAATCTCTCATAAAATCACGGAAATGATCTATATCTGTTTGTATATAAGTTGCCACAGTCAAGAATTGAGAACCACTCTCTACTTTGGATTGTGAACATAATGTCTTACCTTCGAGTTCTTGTTCTTGCAGCCGTGGCAGGTAAAATTTAATTAATTGAGGATCTTGTAAAGTTTAAATGACGATCTATATACCACAGAGGTTATTCATATTATCTATTATTTTTAGTGAAATATATTTTTCTATAAAAGAAAACAAACTTTTGAGAAAGAAAAATATCAATTATATTACATTACAATATTGCAATAATATTACATGTATTTGTTTCTGGCTAAAATTGAATGATTTGTTTTTGCTCTTTTTTTCCCTCGCTGTCAAGTTAAGTTGAATAAGTAGTATATTTCAAAAGATTGGCAATTATAATGATGATTAACCAATAATTGATAACGAAAGACTACGTATGATACCATATGAAAACTATGACAAATGATTGCCCCACTCATTTTAAGAAGAGCGTTAACGATACATTCGATACGATACTTTGGGGGTGGGGTGGGGGATTTAGATTAACCCTTGTCAGTTCGTCGGTCCATCCTTCCGTCCGAACGTCCTTTATATTTAGTGTCGCACGTAGCTCAAAAGTATTTGACCTTGAGTCTTGAAACTTTATAGAAATGTTGATCAGCATGTGTAGTTGCGCACCTGGGGTTTGCTTGTGGATTTATTAAGTATTTGTAAAGTTCTTGCCCTTGACTTAGTAAACGATTTTTTTAATTTTTTAACTTGTGACACATGGAGCCTAAAAATATTTGACGTGAAGTCATAGGATTGACAAAATAGTGTGGGGGTACCTGTGGCTATGGACACATTTCTAGTTTTGTTTTATAATAAACTGAACACAACAAGGGTAAACTAATAAATCATTTTTATTCTTACCTGTGTTAACTGACCATTTACGCTTAGATGGGCATAACGTCACTATAAAGATAATACATGCAATAATAATAATAATAATAATAATAATAATAATAATAATAATAATAATAATATAGAAATACGTACACTATATTGGTCTTTTTTTTATTACAGTTGCTGTTTTCGCTGCCGAAAGTAAGTAAACTTAATATGTTAATATAACGGTGACGCGTTGGTAAATATGTTTTATATAGTATTTGTTTTTATATATAAGGTAGAGAAAATATGAATAACTTGAAATGCACATATGATCGCTTGTTTTGATAATAAAAACAAACAATTCTATAGTAGGAGATTTTTTTTTAAAATATTATAAAATTCACGAGAAGCAAGAAGTATTTATTTCAGAGGCATAATATGCATATACATACATATAGTATAAATGCTAATATATTTTCGTTATGCAGAACGAGCTGGATGTACGACTAACACTGACTGCAGCGGAATAACCTGTCCACACGGCGAGAAAGGTTATTGTGAGCAAGTACATGGTACCGGAAATGGAGGTGGTGAATTGGCTTGCATCTGCAAGAAGCATCAAAAAAGAGCAGGTACGAATTTATACTTTGATCGAAATATTTACATTGGTCGAATTTTTACGGATTAATATTGTTGTAGTTTCATTCCCTATAACGAAATGACATTTACTGATTAATATTGTCGTAGTTTTAATACAAATAACGAAATAGGAAACAGTTTTGTGAATTCTACGAGATAAATCATTTTCATTTGGACGATAAAACAATTAAATTGTAGTATTTATTTTAAAACCTACATTTAACCTTATTTATATATTGTATTCTAATTTACTAATAACTTAACTTTTTGTTTATGTTTCAAATAAGATACACATCTTTAATGAAACCTTCGTCTTCATAATATGAGCCACATCATGACAAAACCAACATAATGCGTTTGCCACCAGCATGGATCCAGACCAGCCTGAGCATCCGCGCAGTCTGACCAGGATCCATGCTGTTCGCTTACAAACCCTATAACAGGTAGAGAAACTGATAGCAAACAGCATGGATCATGTCAGACTGTGCGGATGCGCATGCTGATCTGGATCCATGCTAGTCGCAAACACATTATGTTGGTTTTGTCATGATGCGGATCATATAACCAATTAAAGTCGTGTTCTGATTACGCAACATGTGTAATTATCACTGGAATTAAAATATTATATCATTTACGAAATAATCTTAACATTTTTCTATAATTTACTTTGCAGTGAGAGCTAACCCTGGTATGTACATTTTAGAGTATTAATATATTAATAAAATGGTTGTTTCTTGCCAGATTCTATCCATCTTTAAACAGCTTAAAAAGAGCTACCGTCGCTTACTAGTTCTTTTTGCAAAAGCTTTTATACGTCATGTTAGGGTCTGTGAAACTTTCTACAATGAATTTTTTTCAGAATGTTTTTTTTATATATTTGATTTCTATTACGATTAATTGTAGTAGAACGCCAAGAAGTAGTGGAAAGCAGCAAAATTTCGACTTATGACCCCCAAGTGGAAATCAGGAAAATTATAAATCCACCCTTGGAATTTGCATTGTCCTTCCACATCCCCTTATCGAAATTTTGCGACCCCCTTTCGTGGAAAATCTGGATCTGCTTCTTTTATCTGTAGAAAATGTTTGACCGTGGGCACATTGAGTAAACACGTCTACTTCCTGTTGTTGCAGTTATACAAGTTATATCTTTTGTAGTGTCACGTGTTTGTGATGTATGCCGTGCTTTGGATAACAATAACAAGTTTTAAGTTAACTTTTAATAACAAGTAGGATTGGTTGACATGTTATCAAGTACTTTCATTTTTTTAAATGAGTTTGAATAATATGAATGCTTTGTTTGTAAATAGGTTTGTTTGTTAGAGACATTTGGCTTGTTTGTTAACTCTTACGAAATGTTGGTAGCCTGGCCGGGCCTTAAACATCTGAGCATATCAGTTCAGATCAACAGTCGCAAAAAAAAGTGGCAGTTAAAAAGTTAAAAAGTCGTTACAAGACGTTGTGAATTAAAACCAGACTAAAGAAATGTTTTCATGTCATTATATCAAAACGGTTTAAATGTGGCTGAAACGTTGCATTAGTTTTTGTTTGTGTCCTTGTAGGATGCTGTTCTGCCGGTGATTGTGACGCCAACGCACTTGGATGTGATCCCCACCACCAGATTGCCACATGTCAAATCATTAGTCAACATGGTCACTGTCACGATAACGTGTGCAAATGCATCCAGAAACATAACGGCTGATTAATCAAGTAAGCAATTTATTCCATTGAAATTGCTTAAACGTATCGCAGAATATAGAAATTTCCTCAAGTCTTTACATTGGTCAATGGCTGCGTCAAATATCGAAAAAATCTCTTTATTGAAATTCTAACATCTAGATTAAATAAAACTTGTAAAACTTGGTTGCTTGTAAAACAATACTTTTTTCAACATGACCAGTTCTTTAGACAATTACCTCAGGGTTTTTTATAGCTACCTCTCCAGAAATAGTTTAATTTCAAACAAGCATACGATGGCGGCTCGGAATGATGTCGAATTTTCCATGCTAAAATACTGCGTCATACTACTGATATTTTGTGTGTTTCGGCTTCGGTATAGTATTTTCAATTGCAGGGATAATCCAAACATGACACCATAGTATTTTGATTAACCGTCTATCTTTTTTTATTTTCAGACTTGCAATAAAACAACAATACAGATCTTTTGTATTTATTAAATAAAAAAATCACAAATTAAACCTTGTTTATTGTTTTGTGGTCAATTTATTTATCTTTACATATTCAATTTAAAGCTTGTTTCAATAACAATTCTGGGAAGGGGTGGATATCTCGTGAGAAATGAAATAAAAAATTCAGATTCTGTTTCTGGAAGGTAATAGGAAATGCACGATATATCGCCCTTTGATATGAAATTATTGTTTTACAATGCATATATATTGCCCATTATGGACTATTGTTGTATTATATGGGGTAAAGGAAACACAAACTACATAAATAATGTTTGTAAATTACAAAAACGAATTGCTAAAATCATTTTACAGCAACCACAAAGATCTCCGTCAATAAATCTATTCGAAACTCTTAACTGGTTACCGTTCCTTGACAGATGTAAATACCACACGGCGGTGCTTGTTTTTAAAATTTTAAATAACATGGCACCGACTTATATGACAGAACTGATGACTTTATCCGACAACAAAATATATAACTTAAGATCTAGGTCACGAAAAGATATTGTATTATGGACAAGACCTAAAACAAACTATATTAAAGACACATTTTCTTATTATGGCATGAACATTTGGAACAATATACCTTTAAATATTCGTAATGTTAATAACCTTAAATGTTTTAAAGAAAAACACGAAGCATATCTTGATGTTCATATGAATGAGTGAGTGAGTGAGTGAATGAATGAATGAATGAATTAATTAATTAATAAATGAACGAACGAATGAACGAACGAACGAACGAACGAACGAAAAAATCTAAAAAATACATATTATATATTCATTTTTCTACCTATGCATGTCCTGTTGTTGTTGTTGTTGTTTTCTATTTCAGAAGGCCACATTGGAAATAAGATATATATGATTGTTATTGTATGTTCTTAATGTGTAACCTTCTTTAAATAAAGATTATTATTATTATTATTATTATTATTATTATCATTATTATTATAGGACCGGCTCATTATTTAAACTAAAAGTATTGGAAACGGTGATTCTGAAGGACCAGAAATATTAAACAACAGTAGATGAAGTTCGGCGAATAATATTTTGGAAGAAGAGATCCCGCGAGAGAGCAGATTTAAGAAAGCAAAAGAAAAATAAAATAAATAGTAAGATTGAAAATTGCAGACTTGGTTTAAAGATTATGTATGAAAAGTAAATACGCTGAACAGTTCACATGTCTCAATTCGTCCACCGTGGACAAATGTGTTCTTAATTCTCTTATCTGATAAATGTGGCTCAGCAGTCTGTTTATAATCAAAACAGTTATGGACATATCTCCCTCCAGTTTACAGACAGTAACTTTAAGGAAAAAGATATCAGCCAAGTTCTACAAATTTTACAAGTTGTTTTGTTTTAAACACTTTTAGCAATATAAACGCCAAAATATAATATTTACAGACAAGTGCAAAGTTACAACAAATCGTCCGTAAAAATAATTATATCAAAACAAAACATTGCATCTAAAGGCCTCAACAGACGGTAGGATTTAGTTGTACAGCACTTATTAGAGATAAGATGTACAATTTTCAAAGCAATACAACACTTGCATTCAGAGGGTAATTTTACACTGAAGGAATCATAATTATGAGGTTTCCCTAAAAAGGATCCCTCCCAATTGATCCTTTACATACCTTACTCACTAAATACCTTTTTCGCCATGTGTAATGATTGAAACACCTCTATTTAAAAATAAATTAATGTGAAGCCTGACCGAGACTCAAACCTGGGACCCTCGGAATACTGTACTGCGGCTCCACTTACTAAGCTATCCGGCCGCCTACAAACTACCTTCCCTACCCTAATTAGAGAACAGTGCAAAACCGTGACATTATTATTTTCGGAATAAATTTGGGATTCGAACATAACACACATTTGGGTCTCCTGAAGAGTTTTTCAACATCATTTTTACCCATCTTAATACTATGTTTACCTTTTAGCCCTAATTGTTCTGGAATTTCATTCATTACACCCATTATCAGGAGTTAATTTGGTAATCTGTTACTTGTTATTGTGGGAGGTCTGTAGAAATCTGTACGACAAGATTTTCTAATAGAACATGTCCTATCCCTTACATCTATACTTAAGGTTTCCGAATTCAAGAAATTGTAGCCATCACATATTAAGATTTGCTTGTACATCTTAGTTTTAATTGGTGTTGAACTTCAAAATCCTACCGTCTGTTGAGGCCTTAAGTTATCGTCAGTATTTTCCTCTTGCTCAAGATGCTTGTAGTTTACCGTATGGTCGTGCGTCTTTCATTTTTCTGTAGTCAAAGAAGTAATGAAAGAGAAACTTCCTTGCAACAGTTAGGGCATCTGTTTCTATAAGAGATGTATCTTTAAGGAATAGCTATCACATTTTCTTTATTCATTCAATGTAGATAGATATACACGAAATATCATGAGAAAACCCAGACAGAATCCAGATAATTTAAATGTTCTACTACTTTTCGCACTTTCACACACATAATTTGACATTGAGTCGGTAAGATAACAGATAATGACCTCAATGATGTCTACAAATTAAACAAAAGATCGTCACGATGTTCCATTTTATTTTAATCTCAGACGCTTCCTTCTGATAAGCAATTGCGCAGCGGACACGCTATTGTAACAAGGTCACTTGTGTGAATAACTTGGCAGATCTGAGTAAGAAATCAAAAGCATTTGAATCATATTAGGCTCTAATTTTGCTTACATTATTACTTGTATAAATGTGAAAACAAACAATGATTTCAATTTGTTTACTTCTATATTGTATTTAGTTTTGAAGTCAGAACATAAGCTGAAATATTTAATGCTCGTCAAGCATTTTCTTACGGTTTTTCAAATAGAATAATCTATATGTTTTAAGCTAACAGACATGAGTTTGTTTTATTGCAACATTTGATATACTTATTCCTGTACTTAAATGTCAGTCATGATCCTGCATTTTTATCCCAGATTTACAACGCAGTAAGAATGTCACAAGGCCAATTAACATTAGCATACTGGTTTTATTCTAATTGGTCAAATGATTCACAACCAAATGTATCAATATTTTGGTTAAATCATTCAAAACCAAAAATACCATCATACTGGCTTAAATTTTTCAAGCCAAAAACACCAGTATACTTTTTTATCATATTTTATTTATATAAATATTATTTATATATAAATATTATTTATATATAAATAAAATATTTATATCTTGCTACATTGAAACACCAAAACTATAAACATGTTGATGTTGACGTCGTGTAGCAGTAAGTGCCAAAATAAATAACAAAGACATACGCGTTATTTTGTTTGTTTCTTTGTTTCATAATGATGTTTATTTGTATATAAATATATAATAATTTGAATCATGCACCAAACAAATGTTTCTTGATGATTCGATAACATTTTCACTCTGCTGTATATTCAAAAAAAAAATAAGTGTTTCAGCCATCACAGATTCTTTGTAATTCTTTATAAATTATAACAATTCTTTTATCGAAGATGAATTTTATGTATTTTTATTTGTAACAGATTTTCTCAACAAAGACAAAGTTACATATCTCCATGGTACAGTCATGATTATACATTTCATAATTTTTGTAATTTGATTGAAACTCAAAATGAAGAAAAATAAGAAAAGAATATTCCTTTTTTTCATGAAATTATATAATTGTTGATAATTATAAATAGGGTTATATCAGACTTTCCTTTTTAAAAATCTGAAAAAAATGTGACAAGACTGTTTAAAGAAAGCTGTTTCTTATACAACAACTACAACAACAACAACATTTTATTTTGTAAATATAATTATGCCTCCAGCCCAAAATACACAATATAATCAAAACAGATATGCATATTTAGCTATGTCTACAATACACGTTGTCACAAATAACTTTTGTTTCATAACGATGTTTGTTTGTATTGCTTGGCTAAGCTTTAAAAATAAATGTTTTGAAGCATGCACTGGTTAGTCACCACGGTCATTCCTGACTCTATTATCATGCCTATTTATAGCGCGCATTCGCTTTCCTTACATTATCTGTTAACGTCAATATCAACATATTGGAGGGATGTCACAAAGGCATACTACTCGTAATTAAAAAATTATCGCATAAATCTTCTACAAACTGAACAATTCCATATCTATTTTGCAATTCAACGGAATATTAGCGTAGAGGTAGACTCAACGACCCGTATGTGTATAGACTTTGGTTTGAATCATTAAGAAATCATTATTTTTTTATTTTTGTTTGGTTTTCAATATATTTTAATTAAATTGATCTTCATATACACTAGGCAATTTTAGAACATTAAGTTTTACAAAGTTGAAGTAACAGTCATCATAGTCAATAATTAATCTGCTTAATTATTGAATAAATAGCAATGGAAGATAGTAGATATACTCATACAAATGTGCCAAATACATTTTGTATGTTCATATATGGTAAATAACATTTATTTTATTTTACCTAACCTTTTAATGGTCAACTTTCAGGTATAATAATAATAATAATAATAATAATAATAATAATAATAATAATAATAATAAAAAGATAGATATAAAAATGCCTTTTTATGGATTCGAACCAGGGTCTCTACACTCACGTAGACAACACTCTACCTTTACGCTGTGAAAAATTAAGATGATGAATAGTAAGCTTTTTCTAAAGGAATTACGATAACCCTATGTATTAGAATTAATGTAAACAGATAATGAAAGAAACAGCGAAGTTGAGCAAACGTTTTTCAGTAGGACAAAAGGTTCAATATTTTGTTTGCTTTTTCTCAATATTACAATTCCGTTGCTGCTATATTAAAACAACACAAATTCTCTTGGTTTAAACATATTTATTCCCAAACGTATATATAATGTACACACAAATAATCAACAAACAAAATGCTTTACATAATTGAAAAAAGGATGAGAACGAAAAACGAGTCTTATAGAAATCTACTCCTTTAAAAATTCTCTTACTTCAATTAAGACACTATATTTAAACGGCTAAAAAGCATACCATAGTATCTATCATAGACACATATTTTAACATCTAACACACCAAAGTTGAAGGTCATTTGATATTAGTATCTTTCTCTCCAAGGGGCATTACGTCCACTTCCTTTTGGTGTATTTTGTCGTTTAAATTAGAATCCCTCGTTTCTGGTAAGAACTGTTGTGAGACAAGACACAGTATCGCTATTCCACCACAAACGAAGAACAACAATCCTGGTACATACATGTTCTTCATAAAAATAGAAAAAGAGATTCATTCAGAAAAAAATACATTGGAGATAGATGAGAAAGATGTTATGTTGAAAATAAAGTTTGTTAGAAAAAAATGGAATGGAATATTATATTTATTGAACTTGTATAAACATGCCGTAATTTTGCTGACTATGTGAAGTCAACAAATCAACTGAGATATCTGTCCGTGTCCTAAATAATAAACAGAGGGGCACTTGGGAAGTTTTAAACTATTAACGCTAGAAAATTCTAATCGTTGAAAATATTTATAAAATATCTAGATAAAAGAAACTCTTTGCATCAATGAAATACATATTTGATGCTTATGGAAAGAATTAAAAGTGTTAATATATTTTTGTAAATAACAAATTTGTACTTATTTATACAAACTTAAGACTTTTTTAGATATAGCAAAACAAAACAATGTTTTCAATAAGCGATATTTTTTTTTGGTGAATATAATGAAAAAGAGCTTGGGATTTGACATGATTTACGTCAAAAACGATGGGTTGACGTGATCAACAAAATGTAACCTAAAATGCCAATATCCTATTGTTGTAACAATATTATCAGTAACATTAAGTAAAAGAGGAAATGACGAAGTAAGAGAGGAAATAACGTTTGTTTTACGTTCTTACCAAGTAAACAAACTGTGGTCCTAGAATTGCACCAAAGCGGGCAATGACACTTAAAGATCCGAAACCTATATTTCTGAAAAAAGTGCATTTATTGACAGATCACAAAACAGTAAAATATGCTTCATTATGTAATTAATATTTTCAGTATCCCGTAAGGCAATAGATGATTTTATATAAGACATGTTTTAAAATAAAACGTCAGTCATCGGTAACAACAGCAAAAAGTTATATTTTGAACGATTTCTGTATGAATGTTGATAAAAAAGATTTCGCGATAGGAAAAGAAACAAGAAAAAAATCTTGAAACAAAGTGATCCTCGGAAGCATTAATCACAACAAAATTACAAGAGAATTGCAGACTCAGTTTGATTGAGTCTGTACATGAGGAATAATGGATACGTGCAACATCCCTCACGCACCCTAGCACCTGCTTGAGCGATACTCATTTCTCAACACTTAATAATTTTTTAAACCTTTTTTGTTAAATTCTTTTTAAAAATTACTGACGTAGTTTGATTGGGTCATGTTTAATATTCAGGAATTTATCAAGGAAGTATCTGTTTCATTACTTGCTAGGATGGACTGGAAAACCATCATACCTTATAACAGTAGGGTAAACTTCTATTGTCATTGTCTGTACTGGTCCCCAAGCCATGTTGATGGTCATACTTGCTATGATAGCAAATACATTTGTAAGCAGGTCACGATGTGGAGTATCTGATAATGGAAATACGTAAAAATTGTCTTATCTATCATATTTTATGTCTATCTGACACAAAAATTGTATGATATTTGTTTTACTATCAAACAAGGCTTAAGTTAAATAAGGAAAAATCGATAAGAAGGCACAACACCTGTCGTATCGAACGTAAAATTTGGCAATAGCAATTAAGCATAAAAGGTAAAAAAGGGAAGACTTGTGTTAACATAGTGTTGTAACGTAAAAAAAGACAACAAACAAAATAAACAAACAAACAACAAAACATTAATATCATTAAACCCCCCCCCCCCAGATTGAAATACATATTTGAATTATATTTACCAACAGCTTGAGCTATCCCGGCCACAAGCCCACCAACTGCGACACCCAAAAAGCAAATCATAGCTGCAATCCTTCGCCCAAATCTAAAATGTCAAATATATCCACAATACAATACTTTTCATACAGGATATTTTGAAAAACGACGTTTGAATTGGAATGGTGACAAAATTGAATAATGTTTTATGTTTTTTTACTAGTGTTAATTTCGGGCTAAGAGTATCTACACGAAAGTAGACCGATTAAGTAAATGGAGAAAATGAGAAAAAAGCAATCTGATTCCTCTTCATATTAATAAAATGTGGTAAAATTGGATGCAATATGTTATGGTTTGAAATGAAGTATTCATTTGTCAAATTACATCTGACGAAGCTTTAATGAATGTTATGCTATAATGCCTTTCAATTGATGTGTATATAAATATTTTGGAAAACAATAAATACAGTAGAATCTATACGAGTTATTTATTTATATCACAGTATGTATCCTTATCATCAAGACATGATGGCAATGTTAAGCTCTGGTGATAATAATAGACTTTAAATCTTTACAAATAGCGTAAATATTGTCTACTTGTATCTTTTACAAAAATTGAAACTGACATGATCAAAAGAAAAAAAGTAGGAATACTTACGCTTTTTCACTATTTATAAGACTTCGAGACTGTTATAATAACCAGAGCCTGGCCCTGATGATCTGGATACATACCGCTTTGATGATTTGAAATAAAGCCATCTATGTGTCGCATATTAACGACAATAGATCTTACCTATTCGTCAAATAGACCGTGATAATTTTTGCAGGTATGCTGACGACACTGAACAAGAACAAATTTAGGTAGATATTTCCTGCTAATGCTTGGATACCGAAACTTATACCATAGAATACCAGGCCTAGAGCAAACCTACATAGAGAAAGAATATTTTTTTGCAAAACAATGTCATTTGAAAGTCATTATGTAACAAATCTGATCAGAAAAGGACATGTGTCTTGTGGAGGTTGGGATTTTTATAAATCAAAAAATATAATAAATTTCAATAATTTTATTTACATGTAAAATGTGGCTAATTTGGCCCGTATGAAAATAAATGTCAGTCAATGGGTGCCAAGACATTGCAGAAACAAACAATTCATGTATCACTATCAAGGATATAAAAAATGAATAAACAGCAATATTACAGGCATATATTCAGACGGAACCATAAACATAAGCATATTTCTATAATGTATGTAGGTATATCATAAATTCATTATAAAGTCAAGCATGTACATCTTAAGGTTGTAATTTCAACAAAAAAGGTATATAACTACAAAATTTGTTAAATTTCAGATATTTGATTCCACCGACATGATTTCTTTTCGACGTTAATGAAAAAATCGAGGCTTGCGTTGAAGCGTTACTATATTGTACATGCCAATAAATGAACAATGTAAGTAAGATAATAATTGCAATCGAATGCGCTTTTTGAATTAGGTATGTAAAAATATTGATGCAATAATTTTCGGCCGTAAAGAGTTATATGTGACATTGACTCATTGTAGCGTTAAGCATAATTCTAAAACGGTAGATGCATTGACAAGATGACCACTTTTAAGTCGCATTATACGAGCCACCTATTATTTAGTTAATTTGTCTACAATGAGCACCTTTTCAAGATTTTTTTTGAATATTGATGAAACGTATTATTTGGATATTCTTATGAGTTCTAAAGGTTTTTAATATGAACGTTATATATTATGATTAATAATTATTTTTTGTTCTCTAGAACACTTTGTTATTTGCCATGTATTGATTTGTCATATTTGATTATGTATGTAGCACCAACAGCATCCATAAATAATTCTTACGAAGTTTGTTTTCATGTATGATATTAAATATTATCAACATAAATATTTATGGTATCACAGACCTTCCTTCTGTTATAGACTAATTTACTCTAAATTAATCTCTGCGAGTACCAATTGTGAGAGCTTCATGTATATTTCATGACGGTATGATTATATTTCAAATACATTAAAATGTAAAGATGAATAGAATATAGATATAAAACTAATAAAAAGTGTTGAAATGTAAATATTGAATTGGAGTGATGTTAAGAGTTGAAATACACCACTAACCAGTTGATAGACAGCAATACAGTCGCCTTTGATAATTCTTTCGACTTAAACAGATGGATAAAAGTATAATTATTTTCCTTCTTTGTTGAGTTTTTGTTCATATCAAGATTGGAAATGTCCGGGAGGGGGTGCTTGTTGATCATCGCAACACGTGCTATAACCTTAGATGCATCTTCAATGCGATCCCTAGCTATATACCATCGAAAACTTTCAGGTAAAATGCTGGAAATGAAAGTGTCTTAATGAGTGCAAATGTAAATATAAACAGATTGTAACTGTAAACAAATTATTTAATATTTAACTTGATAATGCGGGTATATATTTAGACGACTACACATACTTAGAAATATTACAAGACTCGCGTGGTGGCTCGTCCAATGTGATTTATCCAGCTCAGTCTAATATTATTTAAATGGCTTTGTACAAGTCTAGATATATTCCCATTTTGTATTTGTTTAATGTTACAATAACCTCTTTATTCTGTATCCACATTATATAAAAGAATTGCGTCTTAATATTGTCAGGTGCTCTTTAAAGAAATCATTCGGATACTTTAAATAGTCGAGAACAACTTTTACCATTGACGTTATGGAAAATGCCAAACGCAATTACCTGCCCAATATAGAAAATTATATTGATTGCTACAGCGTCCAGTATGGAAGTATAATAGATGTTCACCTCGTGCAATTTAGATTCAAGTGTTTGAATATGTAAGATATTTGACTGAACAGTAGGCATTAGGTAATATCTTGATCTGAATAACGTCGTAAAAGCATATGATGTTTTAGTTGAACATGTTTTAGTTGAAAATATGGCAAACAAAAAGTCCTTTTTGAGGGAAAATTGTTTTTTTTTTTTAAAAATCTTTTAAGACTAGTGTTACTTTGTTTGCTATTTCATCTTAGACTTATCATATTTGAATTAAGATTAGTTAAAAAAACTAAGTTACATTAACAAGATTTACAAATTATCACTCAAAATATTTTAACGGCCATTTTGCAACAAAGTCATCACTTTAGCTTCGTCCCTCTGTACACGCTTTGAATACTGTGTCGTATAGGCCTAATAGTCCAGTCAGTCTGTAAATCGACCTCAAACAAATTGCAACAGAAAATATTTTACCTGGTATAGAAAGTATATGGAATAACATGAATCATATCAAAAGTCTAGCAAAATCTAAGTTGCGCAACATAGAAAAAAACGGGTTTTTATAGCGTTATTTTTTGTGATTTTTTTCTGACGACAACGGTCTTCCATAGGCGAACAAAGCGTCTCCGATACTCAGAATAGCGACTGCATAATGGCGACAACAACAACAAAATTAGTGTAAACAAAAAAATGTCAGTAAAGTACACTGTAAAGTGGGTTGGTATATTTTCCTTAAAATATTACAGATCATAATAGGAATTATTAATGTGGTGTCGTAAGTTTATTATGAGTATTTGTTGAAAATTATTACTTGTTTACCAGTTCAACAGGTCAACAGGTGTTTCAAGCGATCTGTATTATACTTTTCATGTAAAACAGTTTAATTTATATAAATTACAACTCTGATTAACTCCTGTCTTAGTAAACATTTAAAAACGGCCTAAAAATGTGTTTTAAAAACAAGTTAATTTCGACAGTATTTTTAAACTATGGAACGCCATTATCACTTTAATTATGACGAATTACGTTAAATAAATTCTGAATACTTTAAGCATGTTTTATTGTTAAATGTGTATTCAAGGTTGTTTTTTTTGTATTTTTTAATAGTTTTTTAAAATTGCTTTACATATATAATGTATGTAATATTTTTACATATGTAACACAAATATCAAACATTATCTCTTACTAGTTTAAGTGAATATTAAACATGGAGGAAATAGAGCGTCGTATGCATAATTCAGTATAATATCTGAAATTATTTTCAGTTTTTAATAGACATAGAAGAAATTTATACATGAAAAGGTGACATGAAAAATATACTTCTGTCAGATATTTTTTCTTGCATATTTTACGATATAACATTATATTTTGAATTCTTTTTCTTAATTTTCAATGGGAATTTATGTCATTACAACCGAAATTATTTTCGTACAACAGCGTATGAAATTACAACTTCATTCATAACGGTAAAATTACGTCATCCTAAAACCCCAGTCACACTAGAGCTTAAGATTACTTGCGACCACCGGCGACTTGTAAAACTGACGATCATCAGCGATTGTCTGCGACCAAAACCATTTTTGCACGTATAAATTTACTTCTGCGACTATCGTAAGACCAGTCATCATTGACAATCGCACGACAGGTCATAAGCAAACGTACGATGGTCTCAACATTGTGTGGGATTACTTACGACTACCCGTGACCTGTCATGCGATCACCTACAACTAGTCGTACGACCATCACACGATTACTAAAGACTACTCAAGATTATCAGTGGCTAGTGGCAATTTGTAAAGAATGTCGTAAGATTATGAACGACCATCGTGCGACAGCCTAAGACCTTATAAGATCATTAGCGACCTGTTTGATCGCAAGGAGGTATTTGTGCAAGCTCAAAAACCTCTCTATGACTGAAATTGGTCGTTGGACCTAAAAAAGATAGCCTGCGACTGTCAAAGATCACCGATGACCGTCGTAAGAGGTTTTAAAGATTGTCCGCGACCAGAGGTCATGGATGATCGTGAACTGGTCTTCACTGGATGTAAGCTCTAATGTGACTGGGGCTTAAGCGTGACATTGTAGAGCACGCGACTCATCTGGCACCCCCTATGCCAGATGAAATTTCCGGCATGGGTAATACTTACGGAAACGCCAGTCTGATATGCAAGAAAAGTGTGTCATATCAGGAACTTTGATCAAATAAATACACCTAAAACATTTTAAGGAAAGCCTTTTAGGAAAAACACATCTTATAATAACACGTACTGTTCTTGGATAACTGAAACAATACGTAATCAGCTACCAATAACAAGAATACAAGAATGCAAGGGATGATCCAGAAATACCCGTAATTTAAACAATAAATTCAAAGTTCATATAACAAACACTTTATTTCTGCGTAATATATCCTCTTTACAAGGAAACAAGAATATGATAATTAAACACAGTATGCCTACCATATAAGCAAACATAGGTTGATGTTCTATTGTTCTATTGTTCTTTATACATAGGGAATCCTCCCGATGCCATTCGCTGTAAGTGTACTAACAACCTAAACCCATGACTATTGAACTGCTAATTGCTTTGATTGCTGTTATTCATACTCATGATCATCTTAAAGTTGAAGGCATAAAATATATGATTAATTTTATTTAATTAGATAAAAAGTGCATGTAAAAGAAAACAAATAAAGTATAAAAAAACAGCACATAATCGTCAATTAGAATTTATTTTTTTAAATCGCATTGAAATTATGCGCAAGGCCGCATATGACAGCATATTTGTATTTTTCAATCGCCACAGCGACGGAGAACGTTAACTTCACGCGTATTCTTCTATGCCGCAAACGATATGTATTTCTCTTTAAAATTACTCCAACAGTCTGGTAAATAAACTTCTTTTCCCTCAAAAAGTTTTGTATGCATGACTAACAAAATACTTGTGTCGAATTTCTTATATCATATTAGATGTTTCTATGGTAGGCTGTCTAAACAGTTGACAAATGTTTATGAAAGTGCCGTTTTCCGACGCCTTAATGAAGACGTTTTTGCATAAATAAACGTTGCAATTACAAATTATTACACAATTATTATAATACAATGTTCAAACGACGTGAAATTTTAGCAGGCTTTACATTAACCTTCGGCAAATATTGGACATGATCCCTTTTTGTGTCGGGCACTTTGGTGTATTATAAATTTCAACGAACGTCGTGTTCTTTAAATTGCGCTGCTGTGGCGTATCCAGGATTTTTTTAAGGCGGCCTGAGACGGTACTGGATGTTTATAATCAATTATATTTGGCAATTCAATAGAAGAAACATCTATCTTTGCGCATTTATAAAATTTATGAAGAAAACATAAAAAGTTATCAGAATTATAAACAAATTTTGGGTAATTCTGGATCAACCTCCATATAATGTAAAAAACAGATTTTATAAATCTTACAATATCAGTTATTGTTTTTTTTTTCAAGATGAACTCCTGTCGGATTTGTTAACGGCTGTTTGATGATCATACAAAGACAGTTAAAGGCAACGAAAAGGAATGCAAGGGAATAAATGCTGCCAGTGAGAAATAAAAGTTGAATCGGAATAATATATTCACATTGAGTGTAGAAAGATGTACTGTAACCAACATTACACTAAAAGAGACACTGAGACAGAAAAAGAAAACACTGATGCCACCATTGAGATCAATGAGTGATAAGTTTTCATACAAAAAAGATTGTTTATATTGTAGTCAATCTTTAATAAGTAAGGGTAAACAAGGAAGTGTGATGTTTCGCCAGTAAGGACACTAGAACCTACTGTTTTGAATATATGTATACAGAGGAATGACTGTTTGTCTGATACAGTGAGAGCAAGGATAGAACAGGTTCACAACTTGCTTGTAGCCGATGCTCTTTACCATCAAACATGTTTATGCTCCTCTAATTTCAGAACTGGAAAAGATATACCAGAAGAATTTCAGGTGCTACCATCTAGTGATAAAAAGTGAAAGATTGGTCGACCAGAAATTACAGAAGCGAGTGACGCTTTGTAAAAGTCATGACATTCTTGTGCTTATGCTTAGCGAAGCTTTTTTACAAATTAAAATTTGCAAATATTTTTTTTTTACATTTTATGCTCAAATGTATCAAATATTTGAAATTGACCTTCCAAAAGGTCAATGTCATCTCTTTTGACTCAATGTCATGATGTTATGTAATGACTCAGAAAAAATACAAAGATGTGCTTGAAAGTATTCAAGTTAATATAAAACTCAATATTATTATCATAGATAATATAGATTTCCTTAATGTTTCTCTATTTTGTATAAAATTACCCCACCCACTAGCTGTACAATGTTAATATAAATATTCAATATATGCATTAAATATTGATTGAATGTAAATTAAATTCATAAAACGTTGAAACTTGACAGTTTTCACATGTACGTAAACCATTATGTATTTTCTGTTTAATATCATATAACATAGAGCTGATCTACAGCAATGTAAACATATAATATTACCCCACCCACTTAAGTTAATTAATAAATTTTAGAAAGGTAAAAGTAGTTTCTTTAAACAAAAACAACTTTTTGATTACTTTATGTTACTATAGGGATAGATTAAGCTATATTTTTATGCATATTATATATAAAACAATTGGAAATTTGTATGTGTGTATTACATTGAGTTCAAATTAAAAAAATAAATACAATGATACCCATATATTTGATCTCAATTTTTAAAAACATTCTCCAATTTAGATTTTTCCAGACTTTTGATATGTTATACAATATAGGTCTGGGGTTTCAAAACACTCAAAATATTTTCTGTTGCAATTTGTTTGAGGTTTGGGTCTATTTTGAGCTAGAATGACTGGACTATAAACCGTGAAGAACGGACGTTTCCGAATTGACAATAATTTTTCAGTACAGACTGTTAACTATGCATGGGCATTGATAACATTTATTGTTACATTTTGTTTTCTTATGGTAAATTTCTCCATTCAAATGATATATCTTCACAAACATAACTTAAAGTTAAACCACAAACATGACTATTGCTTGAATTACTCGTTGATCTTATATTCTCCCATATAATTTATCAGCAACTTATGTAATTTATATCAATGCGCTAACACTTACTTATAATTTAATAAGGTCAATTAAAAATATATGTTTGACTTACAACCAAGTCAGAAGGCAAGGCAAAGCAAGGAGGCAGCAGAGTAGTTGAATATAACGCCAATCCTGAATCAGCCATGCGCACAATGCAAACAAACATGACAAAATAGGCCAGCTTGGAAAACCTGTAACCCATGCACGCCATCTAGCAAGAGAGAACTCTGATACTATGCAATATTGTATAGCTAAAAACATCCCGGAGCCTATCCCGATGAAAAGTCTAGATACCGCAAACATTATCCAATTAACAGAGAAAAAACCTATCAAATTAAAGATCAATAAACATAAGAGGCCAGCGAAGTAAGGCGGTTTCCTTCCAAAAAGATCCGAAAGTTGCCCGGCCGCAAGAGCACCGGCAAGCATGCCAAATGTCTGCATTGACATGACCGTGCTCGGTATATAGTCTAGCCCACATAAAAGCTCGAACTGAAATTAAATATTTAAACGTTAAAATTCAGTAGAATTTCACAGAAAAAATATTTATATTAAAAACCTAGTCTTATTTGTAGATCATTAATTTTCGTTTACAGATCTGTATGCATTAATGCTCTTACATTAAAGTGATAACACATACATTAGGTAATGCCATTGTTTGGTTGGAATAATATCTTTAAGTGCTAGGACAGACTACATTTGTGTTATTAAGATATCTTCTGATACCGATGGACTAAACTATAGACAGTAAGATGACGTACAACGTCTTGACGAACTTTCGAGATTTACTTCGTCATAACCAGTATATTCTCTTCAAATGAAATAAGCTAACATTACCTCGGTAACCACAGTTCTAGCACTTCCTTCGAATACAAAACGGCTGCATTTAGTACCATTTACATGACATTTCTTTTCATGGCAAAACAATGAGTTGTTTTTGCTGTCTACACATGACGTCATATTAGGAGATGTGACGTCACTAACACACCACCATTGTGGAGTCGCCGAAATTAATATCATACTCATTATACTAAAGCAAATGAGACCTTTAGTTGCATGAACTGTTATGCCGATTCTTATCTGGAGACGACCACATCCCCCAAGATCTTCTATAATTTTGTCTGGGCTTGAAACTGCTGATGTCTCCATCTTTTCTAAAGTCTAGTATATAGGCTATAGAAATAATATTATATACATGTATCGACTTCTTTTTGAAACGCCTTTAGTTTCGCGGATGTACATGTATTTACTTTCTTAAACATGCACAGTCTGGAAAAGACAAAATGCTGAAAAATGTCGATTTTTTCTTGATTTATCTTAATTCAGGCAATAAATATTTAATTTCAGTAAAAATGAAACATGGCAAAGCCAAAACCACGAGCGATATTGTTTAAAAAGTTATTCTGAATGGTTCTTTATTGCACATTTTGTTCTTACTGAAATTGGTGAAAAACGTTCAAAATTTTGAAACTTACCTTCATTAAATTACTTTTCGATATTTAAATCATCTGATATATTCATTGCATTCGTGAGAAGTTGAAGCAACCAGTATACTGTAGGTAGTATTATGCAAGAAAGTGGCCATACAGGTTTTTATTTTTATTCAAATCCAATACATAACATTAACCCATTTAATAAGGGCACATGTAAAAACATATCATTAAACACATATCATACTGAATTTACATTATATATTTTCATGGCGGTCTTCTCAGTCAGAAGTGATCTGTTCTTTATAGTGCTTGTGTGACTTAAACTATGTAAAACGGGTTTTTATAATATGTAAAACGAAACGAAAACAAGTCATGTCTTGACCGACATAAGATTGAGCATCCGGACAAAATGACGATAGTTGGTTAGTTTGGTTACTTTAGTTGTCAAGTTTTGATATCCAGCTGTAGAATATTACCCCGAACTTGACTTTAGTGTTGTTATATTTTACGGGTCCTTTGGGATCATTTATTCAAAAAGTTTATTGTGTTGATAATTGAATACTTATAAAGCGGGTACTATTGTGTTTAGCAGAGTCAGTTATTCCGTGTCTACAATATTCACTTCTGAATTTTGATTTCATTGCTCTCTTCTATTTTCCAGATTTGTTTTCTAATACCACATTTTGCTTCACTTTATGTTTAGTCGAGAGCAAGCAAAACAGCAGCTCATTAGTACTTTTTTTGCCAATCAACTTCTTGTATTCGTTCCAAAGTGTTATTGTAACAAGAAGAATAAGAAGTCGATTAGGTTAGGTTGGGGTAAACAGAGCAGATAATAATAGAATTCCAGTCATGATAATATTTTGACATGAACAATTCTTTGGCATGAAACATATTTTGAACATAATGGCTTTGTGAAAATGGTATATTTTAGTTTTAAAAATTTTCTTCCAAGAAGACTTATCTTTTCAAAAGTTCAATTTTTACCGTGTACAGTGCCCGTTTGAGATATGACACGTGCTGTGCTTTGATGGACGTCTTTTGATAACTTTAATATAAGGTTTGGTTGACACGGTTAAGCTAACTATCATTGTTTTGTAGGGGACTGTATACCTGTGTTTATTGTTACATTTGGGTTTTTATGTTGTCTTACGAAAGATGGTGATTCTACATAACTATCCAATAGGGGCTAAGTCATCTGAAATCATACTTTACAGATAACGATCAGCCGTCGCTATACAGCATCAATACAGCATCAAGTAAAA